GCTTCTTTTCCTAATTCTTCCCTTCATCAGAAACCCGTCTACTTTGCCCTGAAGAAGCATGCTTTCTAACCAGGGTACCAAAGGTCTCAAATAACATGAATGGATTTCATGTATTTAAGCATCTATAATGGCCAGAAACTTCAAATAGCCCTATATACAGGGATTAAATTGAATAAAAAGATGAAAAATGCATCTCATCTCTACTAGCCTGTTCCCAACATTGACATCACTCTTTGTGAAGAGCCAGTAATCATAGCAACTATTTGCAGTTTCTGAGAGCATGACTTTGATTATTTTAAAAGAATCTACGTCGAATCATATGTTGCAAATTTAACATTGCACATGACCTTAGTTGTTCCCTGAATGCAGAGCCTAAACTGGAAGTCCTTTTCCTGATGTCCTCTTCTCAGTGTGGTTCTAATTTAAAGTTTGTCAATGAGAGGAGTTGGTGCAAAATTTGGAAGTTGGAAGAGATGCATAGGCTATTATTCTCCAGAGGTATTTGTAGTCAGTTTGGAGAGCAAAGGTGAGATCCATAGTAACTTCTCACTAATTGTTTGAGAACTACCTGCTATCCTGTTAAGACTATTGGTAAGCACTTTCTCAGAAATTACTGAAAGTTATTGCCACTTCCCACTAAGCTTTTCTGAACCATTCTCTTCAGGCTTAGATATGAAATCTCTAGCATTAGTTTCCTCAACCTTGTCTCTGGTGCTCAAACTTTTGCTTCCCCAGCTCTTCAAAAGAAAGTTGAGTCTCGGAGTCTGCTACATAAAAAGGGCAGGAGTTAATCTGGGGCTGAGATGGGCCCCTAAAATGAGCAAAAACTGAAGAATGGAGTTTATCCATGTGTATCCTTCTTCTTTTCCTCTAGGGAAAATTTCTGAAGCCACACTGCTTTGGAGTGGAGTCACCAGGACATAGGGGAAGCACTCTTTCCAATTAAATTTCCTTTCATCAGACAGCTTATTTCTTAAGAGTATTATGGGAGGATAGAGGCCTTCAGGAATTGGCATCTAAGGATATGGAATGTAATCACTTTTCACACTGATCAAAGTAAATGATTCAGTTGTGTGAAGATATTCCTCAGAGAATTAAAATACTGAAGTATTGGAATAAGAGAAAGCTGGGTATGACAAAAGGACGTTAGATATTCTACTAAATCATATCAGCAAAAAGGAATGAACTATCGATGCAGGAAGTAGCATGAGTGAACCTCAAAAATACTATTCTGAGGAAGATCAGCCAGACATAGATTTCACACGGCGTGGTTTCCTTTATTAGAAATTTCAGAAAATGCAAAACTAACCTATGGGGGCTAAAAGAACACCAGTGTATAGCTCAGTCAGTGGCAGATGGAGGTGGGTTTGGGGCAAGAGAATGACTGGGAAGAGGCATAGGGAACATTTAGTATGTTGGAAATATTACCTATCTTTATTGTTACATG